GTAACGTAAGTAAGTAAGTAATAAAGTAATAAAGTAATAACGTAAACGTAACGAACGTAAGTAACGTAAGTAACGTAACTAACTAACTAACTAACTAACTATACTACTACTACTACTACTACTACTACTTCTCTCTCTCTCTCTCTCTCTCTCTCTCTCTCTCTCTCTCTCTCTCTCTCTCTCTCTCTCTCTCTCTCTCTCTCAATGTGCATGTTGTGTGTCTTGGTGCATACAAGTGCTCCTGCAAAAGTTCAGCACACAAAGCGGCAACAATGGAAAAGAACTAGAACTCTCAATAATGAGCCCTCTTTAGAACCCATTCACAGATGATGCAGAAAATAAAATAAAACTTTGTTAACATTTTGTGGACCATGTTTCTCTTTCTTTTTTTTTGTTTGGGGGGGGTACGACGAGGGTATTTTGGATATTTTTCTCTGTAATAGACTTTTCTAGAATTACAGAAATTCTAGGGGTTTTCCATATATTGTTTCTACATGGGGAAATTAGGCGGGAAAGGTTAGAATTTGAATTTAAAATTGGTTTGTGAAGAGGTATTTTCCATGGCTTGGGAAGGGGTATCATTTATTAATGCTCCTAGGAAAGTTACAGAAGTTTGACTTAGGAGCCAAGCCAAGTCTATAAAAAGAGGAAGATTTTTAATTTGGTGGGATAATTTTATTTTCTTGCTATAAGTTTCATAAATGAGGAACATGGTTCCCATCTTGGGTAGTGGACACTCATACAAGTAATTGAAGCTGGGCTCCATTAGCTTCAACCGTTGTATCTGAATGACAATAGAAATCCCTTAGTTTCTACCCAATTGCAAATTGTTTCTCTCTATTCTAAATCATTGGTTTCAAGGCAGGAATCCTCTCTTTTGGACACAGAGTTATGGCCAACAAAGGAAGACATGAAGGCCAAGGAGGAGGTGTTGTACTAAGGGCACAATACGAAGAATTCTTCAGGATGTCCAATGAAAAGCAACAATTTGCCTCAACCGCTTTGAACAAGAATCAGTTACTCCTGAAAGTGACGAATCAAGTAGAAACTGAAAATCCTTTCCACATCCTAAGGAGGGAGAACCCAATTGTTGGAGGATAGGTTGTTCCGTGCCCTAGCTAGATCAGATCAAGGTGTTAGGGTGGACATCCCAGAATATTCGGGACAATTTCAGCGCGATGAATTCTTGCACTGGCTAGATAATGTACAGACTTTCTTCGAGTAGAAGATTTCCCAAAAGAAACGAAAGTCAAATTTGTGGCTACCCGATTCAAAGGGGCATGCCCAAATATGATAGCAGCAGGTGCAGGTCGGTTGAGTACAAAAGGGGAAAGAAAGGATAGCGACTTGGAGGCAAATTAAGTTCCATTTTCAGGAGAAATTCATCCCCAGTAGTTATTCGCAATAATTGCACTAGTTTGCGGCAAAAGGAGGGCGGGCGTTCAGGAGTACACAAATGAATTTTTCCTCCTTATGAGCCAGAAAGAAGTCAATGAAAGCATTGGCCAAATTGTCACAAAGTATGTGAGTGGACTGACGCCTCAAATTTAAAACAAACTAATTCTACTCTGCATTTCAGTCTTGACATGGCTATTCAAATAGCCTTAAAAGCTGAAACCAAATTGAAAAATAGCCTCTAGTGGCTGGAAATAGACCATAGTTCAAGGGGAACATGTGGCAAAACAAAAGCCACGAGAAACCAGGTCCAGCTTGTTCCTATATAAAGCATCTAAGGGCAAAGCTCTAGCTATCAGTTGGTCCCTCCAAACCCAAGACCAGGGTTCGAAATGTTAAAAATGTGGCAAGATTGCCCATCGGTCACATGAGTGTAGGAAACATCACGTTGGCACAGATCTCCTAGATCTGCATGACACGGCTTTGCAATAGTGAGAGGTTACTTCACATTCGCAAGAGGTTACTCCACATCCAAAATTGTCTTGAATAGTATCACCAAATTCGTGTATGACGTTGAAGACTGCTTGAAAGATGCGAGAACGTTAAAGTTGCCTCCCCAAAATGACGGACATGGCGAAAACCCGCAAGGGCGTCATGGGTCAAATATGTCAAAATATAAAGAAAAAAATGTCCGGCGTGTTAGCATCATTAGCTATCACGAGTAAAAGTGTCAAAATAAAATGGGCAAGATGAAACCCCGCAAGGGCATCGTGAGTAAAAAAGTGAAAGAAAAGGAAAGGCAGACATGGTGTAACAACCATGGGTAAAAGCACCACAAAAACAATCTGACGGGGTTTTGTGAAAACCAGAAATGGCACATACCCTAAGGGCTTGAATGAAAACCTGAAAGGGTGTTCAAGTCGAGAAACATGGAGCTAGAAAGCACTTCTGTGAGAAGCACCTCCAATGTCTCCCCATTCCCTCTAAGAGACAAAAGGCGAGCTATGAAAAAGAGATAAAACCAACGAGATGTGCAAGCCATGGAAGTAAAGGAGATAGGCAAAGAAAAGGTAAAGTCATGCCCTTTGAGCTCTCTAATACTCTTGAGCACTTTAATTAGATTTATAAACCTAGTGCTCTGTCTGTTCATTAGTAAGTTTGTACAGTGTATTTTGGTGATATCATCATTAATATCCCAAACATAGATGAACATTCGCTACATTTACAGTAGGTGTTGGAGGTCCTTTGGAAAGAAAAGTTGTTTGTAAACCTCACAAAAATTTACATTTTTTACTGATAACCTAGTATTTTTGAGTTTGTGATGTCATGCAAGGGTATATCCTACCGGTACAAGCCATTGTGGATTGGCACCCATGTTTATAGCCAAAATCAGGAGCAAAAGAACTGATGATCTCTCTGCTCTGATTTTTGCTTAAACGATATCTTATGTTCAAAACGGGTAAAAGATTTGCGGCTTCATCAAATTACAAATCATTGAAGGCCCACTTAGCCTATTTCTATGATCCCCTAGTAGGCTAACGATTTCCTCAAAAATAAAGAAAACGATTTTGAAAAACAATTTTTATCAAAGGAAATAAACCTAATTGTAACAGAAATTGAAAGAAACTAAACAGGTGGCTTACTTGCTTAAGTCGTGCTCATAGGCCTAGCACCCAAAGTGAGGCCTAGACCAGACTGATGAGTTTCGAGATATGGATTTCTCCATCTTGGAGGGAGATTGAACTTCCTTTTTGCTGGAACTAGAAGCATCTAGGCTTGCTTGATTAGGTTTGAGGTTGACACCACCCTAAAGTCTGTTGGAATTATGGCCTTTCAAGGCCTTATGTGTGTTGTTAGCACTGTTCAGGGTCACAGTGGGAGTGACCAGGAACATAGTAGCTACCGAAATCTTTGCGCATTGGGATCTGGATAAGCCGAAATAACCACGATTACATGAGGAGAGGTTCTTGGGCCATATTATGAGTGTGTGCACAAGACAGTCACAATTTGGGAAGTTGTTCTGATGAGAGAAGATCCACCTATCAGAATTGTGCACATGTGCAAAGAAAGGACCCCTGCATCTGCAAAAGTGCATGTCCTCGAGCGGGCACCTGTAATCCACTAAACACTGGGGAATCCAACCATCTATCGATTAGCTTTAATAGGTATGTTCATGTCCTGACTTAAGTCTGTAACTCATAGGAGCCTGTCGGGTAGGTCTGAGAAAGTGGTTTGGGTTTTCAAATCTAGCCTAGTGGAATACGATGTAGCCTAACCTCCTGAAGCATCCTTATCTCCTAATAGGATTTTTGTAAAGTACCAGACTCTGATATTTTGATGGAAAATAATTTAAATATAATTTATCATAATTTTAGAGAATTTTTGAAAATTTTATTTCAAGGAAATATGTTTTATCAAATTTGTTATATGGTAATTCAAATAAAGACAGTCGCTGGCATGTGGCATACAAGTGGCCAATGTGTGTCACATATGCAACCACTAAACTGCCATGTCATTGCCCTATGGGCATGACAGGGATGGCCCTAGAATCCTTGATGTGAAGGCCTTGTTTGGTTAGTGTATATAAACTTACTATGAATAATATTATGCGGTACATGTGTGGTGGCCTGTGTGAATGTAGAATTTTTTATTTCCAAAAATCTCTAATTTAGGAATTTTATGATTTGATGGTCAATAGATTTTTAAAATAAGAGCGTGTAATTGGTGGTAAGAAGATAGAGAGACACCCCATGATATATGATGATATAATGTCCCCCATGAAAGTCGCATTCCATAAGATGAAGTGGAGTGCAAGATTAAGAGAAAGAGATGAAGAGAGAGGGTGGCACGCCACCCTTATGGGGCTCTCATTTTTTAATTCAAATTTAGTGGTGGTGATTAGATGATTTTAAAATCAATGGTTGAGATTTGATCAAATTAAAAAATTAGGATTTGAAGGGCACATTTAATTATGGGAGATTTAGAGGCGACTTATGGGCATAGTGATAAAGGTGTGTTTGATTATCACTATTCATATAATAGCTGCCAATAGTGATTGATAAGGTTAGGTCTTTGGCCTCACTCAACCCTTGGATCACTATTTTAACTCATTCGATGGTTAAAATCTAATCTAGGTTAAAGGTCCACACATGAAACCTCTATAAATAGGACCTACTCGACCTCATTAAGATACTTTTGTCTCACTCATATTCACTTGAATTATTCACTCAAGAGGGCCATGCCCCACTGCCACCTATCTCTCACTTCCTCCCTTGTGATAGTATCTTGAGCCTCCCATTTAATGCGAGATATCTACACTCTTGATCCCATTATGAGAACATAGTGCCTAAGCCCCACCACGCACCTCTCAAAGCCACCTACCTTCCTTTCTGGAAGGAGCACATTGCTGTAAACCATCACAACAGTAAGCTATCTCACTTCATTCTTGTTTATTTAAAGTTCATTAGTGCTTGCATTTAAGAGCTCCTTGTTTTATGCCTTTGTGGTGTAGTCTCGAGCTTAGCATTTCTCCAAACTGTTGTAATAATTATGTTGCTGTAAATGTACGTGTTTGATGCATAACGGTAAGCTCAAATTGTGTTTTGAGGGAAAGATTGTCCGTGTTTGATCCCATTAGATAAGTGGATACCTGGACCAAACTCCGTTTCCCAAACCACACCATTTGAGCTCACTTATGGTTCACACAAGGCTCTTATCGTCCTATATCCTTGTGAGGTTCCTTTGGCCCTTATTTGTTGAGTGAGACTTGACTAGTGTGGCAGTTATGTACATGCTTCCCCCGATTAGATCAGAACCATCCCTCTTGCGCTATCAGTTGAGAGTGATAGCAAGGGTTGTATGTATACCGTAGCAGTGTTCGTGAGGTGAATGTATTTTAATCGGCTTCCCAAAAGTCACATCAAACTCATACACCCTTGCTCATGTTGTAAAAGAGCCAGGCTCATGTTGTAAAGTTATTGCAAGTCAAAGACTATTGTGTTTGTAATCTTCTCGTTTGTAGTAATTTGGGGATTTCCCAAGGTTCGGTTGTGCATTTTGAGAAGGGATTTTTAAATTTTTTATTTTGCATACCTTGTTAGAAACCCTTGTTACTACTTTCAAAGTCTATAACTTGCTATATTATAGGCATAAAGTCCATAGGTTGGTAATGATACGGGGAAGATAGCTTGCCTGGGATTCTTGGAGCTTGCACTTGGTCTTTAGGTGTCTGGACGGGGGCTGGAATCTTCTGGTTCAATATGTCAAGTTTAGGGTCATGGGGCGCCAGGATCACTAAGGCTTCAAAGCTCAGGGTTAAAGGATAGGGTAGGTCATAGAGGCTCAGAAATAAGATCCTAGGGTAGCTGGGAATGGTCAGTTTTATAGGACAAAGGCCTTGTAAGAGTCAGGGTGCATGTGGCAAGATCTGGGCCATACATCTCCCATCAACGCTCTAGCGTCATCAATGACGCTCTGTGTGTTGCTGGGTAACGACAGGCCTATCAAACACCACCATGCTCGCTATTACCCTACATGCTAGCCCAAATTTGATTTCATAACCGTTTTTTGGTGGCAGACCCATGTGATCCCCTGAAATTCCCTCTAAAACATTCCATATTGGGCATGATGACCTAGATAAGGGATCATTGGGGGCTTGATTGAGGTAATTATGGCCTAATTAAGGGGCTAATAAGGTTGGGAGATTGATTAGGGTAAATTTGGTAGATTAAGCATGTTATCTAGCTTAACTTTGTTGAGTGTTGGTCAAATTAGGTGAGTCCAGCCTACTAAGAAAATTGGATTGGCTTGATAGGGAAGGTCTGGGCAGATTAAGTTTGTTTAGGCCCTAATGGCTCTAGGTTTTCATCATAGGATTTTTTGTGGAATTTCAAGATCATTTTGGTGGATGGTGTGTGGTGTAATGGTGGGTATGGACTACCTTGTTTGGTGTGGTTTGTAGTAGGGTTTTTGGTGAATTTGCTTCAGTAAAGGGGATTTTCAGGTTTTTAAGGTTTGGATTAGGAAATCCTAGTGAATTCTGTTGAACCAAATGAAGGGGGCTGTCTACAGCCAATAGTGACTGAGGTGAGAAGTTTTCATGGTTTAGCAACATCTTACAAGAGGTTTATCCAGAATTTCAGAACCATAGTAGCACCCATAATTGATTGTATGAAGAAAAGGGTCTTTGAGTGGACTTTGGCTGCTAAAAACAGCTTCAAATTGGTGAAAGAAAGAATGACAAGTGGTCTTGTCCTTGCACTTCCATACTTTAAAAAGGTCTTCCAAGTGGAGTGTGATGCCAGAAACGTGGGAAGGAGCGGTGCCCTAAGTCAAGAGGGTAGACCCATGGCCTTCTTTAGCAAGAAACTGAATGGGGCAAAGACTAATTACTCTGCATATGAGGTGGAGTTCTTGAGACATTGAAGGCACTATGTCATTCAAAGGCAATTTATCTTGTTCTCAGGCATTGAAGCGCTGAGCACTAGTGCTCAATAGAAACTGAACCGGAGGCATGCAAAGGGTCTCTTACAAGGGTTCACTTTCGTAATCCGTCAACCAGGCAGGCAAAACAATGTGGTTGATGCCCTCAAGTGGAGTCGCCACCTCCTTGGTACATTTGCCACCTCTTAGGTACATTTGCCGAATGTTTTAGCTGGTGAAAGGACGGCCTCTAAACATTGGCCTTTAACCATAGACATATATGAGTATGGACTTTTGGCTGGGGATTCCCCATGCCTCAAGAGGGTGCGACTCTATCTTCATGTAGTAGATAGGTTCCCGAAAATGGCCTACTTCATTCTTTGTCAGTACATACTTGACGCGACTCAAGTGGCTGCTTGTTTCTTTGAGGAAATGGTCGGCCTTCATGGTGTACCAAAAATCATCACTTCCGATCGATACACGAGATTTGTGAGCCATTTTTAAAGAATCTTATGAAAAACGTTAGGTACTAAACTGCAATATAGCAGTGCCTATAACATTCCAACAGATGGCCAAACCAAGGTCATCAACAGATGCCTTCGAGATTTCGTTGAGGAGCCTCACCGGAGACGAGTCTTCTCAATGGGATCGAGTTTTACTTCAAGCAGAATTTACCTATAACAATTATCTTGATCAGTCCACTAGGAAGGCTCCATTTGAGGTGGTGTATGGCTGGCACCAAGCAAAGTTCCTGATCCAGTCCCTTCACTTGAGGGGGCTGAACTAGCAATGTGTTAAAGGCTCGGTTGAGTGCATTCATGGCCTTCATCTTCAAGTTCAGGAAAAATTACAAAAGAGCTACGACAAATACAAATCCGACGCCGACTCGCACCAAAAGGAAAAGACCTTTGAAGTAGAAGACTTGGTAATGGTGTGCCTTAGGAATGAAAACTTACCTTATGCTTAAATACAAGAAAATTGGCCCTCGTCGAGTACTAAAAAAGATGCACAAAACGCCTACAAGATTGAGCGTCCTGAAGGACATGAAATTTCTCCCATTTTCAACATCTTTGACCTATATCAGTATCATGGGAAGGTTGTTGTGGAAGGTGTTACTTGGTGGGAAGCGCATCTGCCCAAGAGAATGGGGGATAAGGTAGAGAGGATCTTGGAAAATCATATCAGCCCCATCCGTCATGAAGATTACTGTAAGTATTTTGTACAATGAAAGGGCAAGCCTGATGCTGAGAGTTTGTGGGTTTCTAAAGAAAAATTGATGAAGATTGACCCAGAAGCCCTTAAGAAGTCCATAACTGGCTCGAACTCAGGGACGAGTTCTCTTTAATCCAGGAAGAATGAGCCAAAAATAAAAACTTGTTAACATTTTGTGAACTGTGTTTTCTCTTTTAGTTTGTTTTTATTTATTTATTTATTTATTTATTTATTTATTTATTTATTTATTTATTTATTATGGGAGGGGGGGGGGGGGTGTGGGGCGGTGTTGGTTTGGTTAAGACATGGGTGTTTTGGGTATTTTCTTTATAATGGAATTTTTTGGAATTATAAAAAAGCAAGGGGTATTGTCCAGTAATGCTCCCTAGGAAAGTTAAGAGAAATTTGGTTTGAGAGCCAAGCCAAGTCTATAAGAAGAGGAAGACATTTACCTTGCTGGGATCATTTTATTTTTTCCTGTAAATTTCAGAAATCTAGAACATGGTTCCCAGTTTGGGTGGTCCTTGGACCCTTGGCGGTATTACCAAAGAGCCCTATGATGAAGTCTTTGACTCCATTCCCACCAAAGGGTAGGGGCCCAAATCCCCACTGACTTACCCTTTTTTTTTTGTGGACCCTCATATATGTCATTAGAGCTAGGCCCTGTTAGCTTCAGCCCATTGTCCATGAATCACAGTTAAAATCCCTTAGTTTCCACTATGGTGAACTATGTCTCTATCGTTTCTCTCTGTTCATCAACAAAGTGCTCCCATTTCATGCAGTTTTATGAAATTCATGGTCAGAGATTTTTTATAAAATGAGGTCACTCTGCTAGACTTTCTTGGAAGTTGGGAAAAATCCTTGTGACCATTACGTGAGGCATTCAAAGCAAATCTTATATGCATAGTAGAACATTTCCACTTGGGTACAACATATTCTAATATGCATAATTGGAACATTTTTGTAAAGTGTCAAACATTCATATAAACACACATGAATGATCACTGTAGTATCTTTCAACAGAATAAAATTTGTAATCCACTAGTGATTAACTTAAACTTATACACAAGTCACATTAATATAGTATAAACAAAGGGAAAAATGGAAGTAATTCCTTGCCTTCTCTATCCCACTAGGATGACTGAAATATACATCACCGACTAAGGTGAGAGCCTTTGCTGACTGAGGCATAGCCTTCATCGCCTCACGAGCAACACACAATGCCTCTTTGGTCTTATTAAGTGCCAGATATGAACGAACCAAACCTGAAATCAGTAAAAACTACTCCCATTAATCAGTTCCAATCAAGAGTTGAGAAACACATTGAAGAATGTCAAGAAACAGCTTTAGTACTACATGAAGTAAGATTCCAGTACCCACCAAAAGAAGGAAGACAGATTCATAATAACCGAAATCAACATTATGATAAAAGCTTAAGCCTTATTTTGGACTTCCTAAGACTTCCCAGTTCAATACCTTATTTTAGACGATTTGGTAAGAATCAGTGTGCCCCAAGCATGAAATTCGTGTAAATCTGCTACAAAATTGATGCAATAACCTTCAAATGAAGACAAATTGAAAGACTTAACTGGTTATGGGTAATATATATGTGTACGAGTTCCGGTTTAGATGACATGAATACTAATCTGGATTCTCAGATGTAGGGGCTCCACAAAACAATTGTTTACATCTTGAGTGTGGTACTTGTATAAAAGAATAATACTCAATGGTTTATGTAGGGACAATAATACATGCTACATTAGAAATTAATACCAAGTTCAAATTCGGAAGATGATTCCTGAATCTTTCACTACCAATAGCTGATAAATACTTCAGAGAGGCCCTTAGCGAGTGTATTCTAAATTCATGTTGCTTTCCTTCTTTTTGCGGCTTGTCCTTGACACTTTCCATAGTCATTAGATTCAAAAGTGCTTCTTTATCCTGAAAGGAGAGGAACCCCAGACATGCAGCAATCTCAACGACTTGAAAGAATCTTGATATGATCAACAGCCTAAAGAACACATGCATAGGGTTCATACTGCCACCACTTCCCTTTCATACTTCTCCAGATAACATATTTGAAGGCAATCAACTTCGCATTCCTGTAGTGATCATAAGCTGCACATATGAATTGGAAAGCACAGGCGAGCCTTCTATCAAGGTTGACCATAGGCTATATCAAACACTCTGCTAGTGCGTGTGAGTGTTTATGGACTCTGAATTGCATTTCGCAAGGCAAGTCAACATTAAGTTCTTTAAGAAAGTACATTAGCTTGTACTTGGAAGTATTTACAGTAAGATACCAAGAGGTTCTTTTGTGAATTATGACTTTAAGAAGACACATAAAATTTGGTGTGGCAACTAGCCATGTCATGCGTGATCATTGAGGGCACACATGGCTAGCAGAAAAGGCCAAACAGGAGGGGGGACTTAAAAACTTTCCTCCTAGTCCTAGACCCAAGAAATGCCATCTTATTTATTGAGGCTATGTTGACCTGAGTTACACCTGAGTTACCCCTTAACATTAAAAGAGCACTCCACTGCAATTTCAGTAGTAAATGCAGGTCGGAAGCAACGTCTTCAATACTCTGCCAAATTTAAAAGTAGCTAACAAACAGTGATCCATTGACAGGGAGTGGCAACAGGTCGGGTCGGGCCCGGGTCAGGGGTCCTGGTCGGGCAGGACCCTGACCCGCAAGGCCGCACCCAAACTGGATCTGAATGGACCTAACCCAAAAATTAAAATATCAATATATTTAACTATAATTCATAAATTGGGACCCAAAAATATAATGTGCGATCCGGAACCGACAGGACATGGACCCCAACAGTGTTCGGGTCCAAGATTTGGACCCGAAACCTACCCGCGGGTCCAATCTTTGGACCCATACCCGGACCCAGCTCAGGTCTACCCATTGGATCCAGGTCAAAACCTTTCCAAATGCAGCCTAAATGTCTAAGAGATTTAGATGCCCAGGTACAAATACAAAAACAAATACAGACGCTGGAAACAAGGATATAAGATATAGACAACATTAGCCTATCCAAAGATTTGACACATACACATGTTTATAAAGTACAAAATATATCTTATATGACACATTGACACATAAACTTGCTTAGCTAAAAAAAATTGAGATAATGCATAAATTTATATATTATAATTCATATTATACTTTTCATAGTTATATTATTTTATATTTACAAATATAGGAGTATCCAGTATGAGCATCCATATCGGATAGTGTCAACAAGGGTGCTGTGTCAACCATATATGAGCATCCGGGTATCACAACTCAAAACACAATAAAGGAGTAATTGCAGTCATGGCAACTGGTATCCCCCGTTCAGCAGGGCTGGATAGAGTACGTTGGACATGTGGGAGGTGGCAAAATCTGTATGTGCATCGAGGGGCTAGAAGGGGAAGGTCAATGCAGCATACCTTGGAGCCTACAAATATGATCTAAAAGCCAACATTTCCCATTCAATGTGGTAGTCAAGCTTTGTGGTTTGCAATTCTGACATTCAAACCCAAATTCTGGGTCTCAAATATACAGAATGATATCCAATTTTTTATTCCTCGAAACACCCGTCGATACTCAGCCCACACTTATGTGAATCTCAGAGTTAAGTTATGACAATCCTCTATCAAGATTGCTGTAAAGAGAGTGTTTATTTGGTAATACAAATTCTTCAAAAGAAAAAAACAAAGATTAAGATTCCTCAAGAGTAGACTAACCTTTCAACAGATGTGTTAGTCCTACAGTTGCCAGGTGACCCACAAAATGCATCAATTTGCAAGTGGTTGAAAACATTTTTTTTCTTTTGCTAATGCTTATGTGAAATGAGAGCTTGTATTATCGGTTTCATCCCACTCTAAAAATGTAGACATTTTACTAGTCCTCTGAGAAAATTGGCTTCTAAAACAGGCACCCAAATGGATCCTCTCACCTACAAATGCACCGCACAACAATGCCAAAGCATATATCACGGCAGCATGCAAACGCGGCCTTAAGGTGCTAAAATGTTACAGGAAAATATTACTGAACATGGGATTTAGGGATAATAACTCGATCAAAATGCCAAAGATGTAATGGGAACTAAAAAATAATGGTTTTCCCATTGGCATATAATATACAGTGAATTAAAAAAATAAAACAACTAGAGTGAAAATGCACCAACATTCATCTGGCATAAAAAAGTGCAATTCAACTTCATATGGATGTTTGAGTTTAACTCATAAGATTCTACTCGAATATGAATCCCATGAAGACACCACTAATATCTGATCGATCAGAATCTTCCCCAGCTCCAAGAGAGGATACTGTTGTAGTTGAAGCCTTCAGCTTCAAAATCTTACCCAAAATCAAGTTAACTCTTCTGAGAAAAAAATCTTACCCAAAATCAGTTATAGTAATTTTAAAAAGGTCAGAAATATTAAATCTAATGTTAAAAGAAATGATGAGAAGTAAACTCTAGTAATTAAGAATCTAACATAAATCATGAGTAATACTTATATTCCTTAATAGTCATTACCAATAAAATATTAATAATAATCGTTGTTGATCATAATTATTAATACCATTATTACCAAAGGTATTAGAAATTGACGTGTAATATCAAAATATCTAATATTCAAATACGATAATATAACTATTACAAGTATGATTATTATCATTCATGATAATAATATATATTGCCCATATTTATTAATTCAATACGATAGTTATTGTCCTCATAACAATATAATATGAAATTATGATTATAATAATAACTTTTTTTAGGGTTTTGTATTTGTTAACGGTGGGAATGGAGGGCAGAACGTTATGTTGAGGAATCCGCCCCCCTAACCGCCTATGCCCCACCCCCATTCACGATTATAATAATATCATTAATAATTATAATATTTATTTCTTATTATACTTATTAAATTAATCAATAAATATCATTATGATGCAAAATTTTAAGCATACATATTAAGAGTAATAAGTATAAAACATAAAAACTAATAATTAAAATAAAATTTATTATTTTCTATAATATTTGAGAATAAACTGCATTCTCTTGATGGAAAAAAAGGAAAACCAGCTTTATTTATATAAAATTTCTGAAAAGATATACTTTTAAGAATATAATTTTACGATTTAATAAGTAATTTATGACCAATTTTCAATTTCCTAAGGACGAATTTTCAAATATTTCAAAAATTATGGCCACTCTATTTTCCTTTTGCAATATTTTTATACTTTCCTTTCTAATTTTGGGCAAGTTTGGATGTACCCAAAATTGCAATATTTTCCAATGACAAGAAAAAAAAAGATTGAGATAGCAACTGGGAACCGTTTGGATAAACCCCATTGAATTTTATTCCCAACAAAACAGATTATGACGCTAAGCCAAATTTGCCAAAAAACGTGAGTGAAACAAATTTGAGTTAGACTCAAATTTTTTTCACTCAATTTTTTTTCGCTTCCCTCTTTGCGCCTTTTCCCCAAACCTTCCTGCTCTGAGTCGCACTTACAAAAGCCTATCTCCTACTCTCAAACAGATCTCACAGCTCTTTCCTTCTCTCATCTTCAACTATGCAGATTTTTTTTTGCTGCAAATTTTTTTTCGCTTCCCTCTTCACGCCTTTCCCCCAAACTTTCCCGCTCTGAGTCGCACTTACAAAAGCCTCTCTCCCACTCTCAAGCAGGTCTCACAGCTCTTTCCTTCTCTCGTATTCAACCATGCAAATCCCATCTCCCAATACTAGTTCAACTTTTTCTCTCTCTAGAACAAAAAACCTTTCCATCTTTCTCTCTCTAGAAAGCCGCCCCCTAATTTCACATAGCTCTCCCTAGCATTTTGACACTGAAGAGCCTCTAATTTCACAGAGCTCTCCCTAGCATTTCGACGGGTTGCTGAAGAGCGGTTGTACTCCTAGATTCCTTTCTCTTACACTCTCTAGAAATTCAGGGTTTTGCTCGATATCTATAGGAACAGTGATTCTTCAGGTCTTGAGAGTAATAGAGTTTCTCTATGTAAATTTAATGGAGTGATTTTCTAAGTATGCAGAGGGAGATGTTTTACAACCTTAAAACATAACATTTGCAGAGGAAGGTTTGTAAAGGACCTATCACCTCTTTTGCCCATCCATCAAGTTACTCTCTCTCTAATAATAATATTGAACTTCTCTTTGTTTCTGCTTTCTGGGTTCTTCTCAGGTTTCTTCTCATTCTCTGTCTCCTACATTTATAGGAATAACCTGCTGATCTAGAGAGAGAGGAATCAATATAATTAAATTCTGAAATTGTGTAAATTGGGTTTGGAATTTCTTATCGATTTCTTTAAATTTTCATATTTCTAGTTATTTTTCTGCCATTTTCGACTGCTCTATGGAGATCATTGGTCAAAATTTTTATATGTAATGAGAAAAATAAAGAAAAAATACGAATTTAGAATTTATTGCAACTCATCCAAACAGACATATCTGGCAAATAAAATGTTCTTCTCATATTTTAATAGACATCCAAACAGTCTACCAACATAATAAAATAAAACGATAATGTTTCTCAATTGAGAAGGAAAAAAAGTGCATTTTTTTTCAATGTGAATATTTTTTTCTTTGACATCCAAACTGGGCCTTTAGTATTAGAACATAAAACAGGTTTTAAAATCTTTAATGTTTTAAAATATTCAAATTTTAATGCTTTTCTTCATTCACGACTCATTTTGTTATTTTTTGAAGAGATTTTAAAATGTAAATATTAAAGTTCACCATGAATTGTGCATGTTTTAAAAGTTTTCTATAACCAATTTTTAGATTCTTATTATTCACCCACCTGCCATTGCAAATCTAAGTGCAACACACATAACGTCATTACTGTAATATATCATTTCACCACAGTAACCAGAGATCAATCAAACTCTCAGCTCAATAAATGGGAAACCATCTCCCCAGTAAAGCTCCTCAACTCCAAGTTTCGTTCTCAGTTTCTTTATCAATAAACAAAACCCATCTCCGAGGCATGAGGACCAAATTAACCAGTTGACGTTTGCATCCTTTAAATGGTTGTGGCAACAAATCAGTCAAGCCAGACCCACAGTTTTACCTGGACTGCCATAATTGGTCATGATTTATACATTTCACTAGTTATAAGAGAGAGAGAGAGAGAGAGAGAGATGATGACGCAAAACCTACTAAAAGGAAGACAAGATTGGTTGCAGGTTATGCTGAATAACAGAATAGCAACGTTGTACAAGCTAACAAGACTGATGACTCGAGTTACTTGGGAAGTAGGCAAGAACTGATTTACATAACTGTACAAAATTTCATCAGTTAAAAATAAACCATCTTGCAAATATTCAGCAAGGAAAAAAAGATGGAAATTCCGCAGTTATGGATACCAGAATCCTTATGTTTCCACACAAGACATGATCTTAATCTTAATTTTTATGAACCAAATCTGATTCTGTTGAACCAACTTTTACTCAATTTTGTCGCTCTTAACATACCTTGATATGAGCGAAGATCAGGCCGTAATTCCTGAGCACTTCTGAATGCTGTCACAGCAGCATCCGGCCGGTTCATTGACAAAAACACATTACCCTTGTTTACATAGGCCATAGCAAAATGAGATGAAAGGTGAAAAACTTCCTCACAATAAGAAACCTAAATGGAACTGCATACATATCTTTCACAAAGCTTACATGTTAATACCTTCATTATATGAGCAGTAATGTGTCTATCATCAATCCGAAGGCTCTGTATGCAACAAGAGTCCATGAAGAATATGTTTATCATGAAAAATTATAAGAATGCAATACAATGATGGATGCAAACGAAAAAACACAAACCTTTTCAGTGTATGCCAAAGCTCGACCCTTCTCATTCTTCCTATCCCATAATACAGAAAATGCGACACAAACTTCGACTCGTGAAGGATCAATATTCACCAATTCATGCACTACCCTGTTTAACTTCGACTGATCAGTCTTTGTCTTTAGAAGCATGGCATACTCATCCATGTAGGTTATAACGTATGGATCAATGGAACGAACCTGTGCAAGACTGAAAACATCACCATCTTAAAGAAAAGAAAAAAAACAATTTCTTATGACAAATCTGCATCACGTATCCAAGCTTACTTTCTCAAAATTCAAAATGGCTTCTTCATTCTTTCCAGTAATAGCCTCCACCTGCAATTTCAGTAGAAACAAGTGTCAATTTTAACATAATAGAGATGAAGGAGTAATCATAAGATACCATAGTACCATACTCAAAGACAGAAGCAGAAAATGGAACAATGAACCAACAGAACTCTCGGTAGTTTTCTTCTAGAAAGTCGTGGATTAAGTTTTTTTTCAATATGTCAGCTAACATCAGCAAGGACTGAGAGTCGAATCATGTCCAAGACTAAAACATTGTCAACAGATACAAATACTGGCCACAGATTGGTGGTAAATGACAAAATTTGGAACCACAGGGCCTAAAACATGAAAAGGTTATAGAACCACATTTCCAATTTCTTATATAGCTCCAGATGATTATAGAAAACTTAACAGCAAGTCGGCCGAAAATTGGGGTACAAATTTGGGCAGAAAATCTGGTTAGAATTTGTTCGCAATAAACTTTCAGTTTCCAAGAATAATCCAACAATTATTAAACTATATTTAAACTAGGGTATATCCCCAAAGAAGAACAGTAATTATAGTAAGTCTACTGAAAAAAGAATGAAGCACAACCAGGAGGATGCAAGGAATTTCTATCTTGTTAACATGAGAGAATTAAAACAAAAATGATAATGAAAAAAAGGGCTCGAGAGGACAGAAAGGTAAAGCAATTACGACTCTTTCTTCTGGGGGGGTAAAAGAACCATAGTTGTTGGAATCATTAGTGGGATCGGGATCAGGAACGGATGATCAGGAAGAGGCTAGAAGATCACTATGGTTGGGAGCATCAACTGGGATTGAGATCCTCAAATGTTAGGGTTCTCGCTCCCAACCTTTTGGGGATCTTGATCCCGATCTTTTGGGATCTCAATATCAACCTTTTGGGTATTTTGCCTCCAACCTTAAAAAGTACATATGTCTCATAACCATTTTTAGCAAAATCGAACCGAAACAGTTAACCTTATATGGGGCCAGAAGCAATTTAATCAGTAAACCAGCCGATTCAACTGTTCTAACCGGACAAGTCCCGGGCAGCAAAAAAATTGTTAAAAAATTAAAAAAGTCGCAAAAAAAAAAATCTACTAAAAAATGAAAAACATATAAAGAATGATTAAAACAAAACACATTCAAATGAAGTTGAAAATTAATGAAAAAAATGGATTTTAAAAGTGAGTATTAATGACCAAAACAATTTTTAATATTTATTATAATGTAAAAAATATTAAAAAAATGTATAACAAATCAAATTCCTTATTTTTGAGATTTTATAGACATTTTTTTTAAATTTTTATTTTTAAAATACAGGCCGATCACCAAAACCGCTTGAAACAGGAATCGGCAAGGAGCCGGTTCCAATATAACGGGGCGGTTACCGGTTAGATCACCCAGTTTTTTTAACAATGGTTATAACTATATATACTCTTTAAATTAGGAATCTCATTATTGAAAGTCAACAAGCAATGCAACTACATTAATGTATAGTTGCATTACTAGGTGACTATAAATAATAAAATTATTAGTTCGATCGTTATCTTGGTCTTTGAGAAGGGGAGCAAGATCCGTAACAGTGGCAATTGAGATCCCAAAAATTAAAAATTCAGATCCTTTGAAGATCGCCCCTCCCGGAGTGCTGGAGTAGGATTGCCACTCAAGTTGGAAGATCCCAGCAACTATGAAAAGAACAATGATTCGCTTTATCATTTTGATAAGTAACTCAAATTGAACTAAAGCCTATAGTTGCAGGGAACTTTATCAAGTGTTGGCAATGAGGCAATCTCCCATCAGAATCTCATACCAACGATCCCGGACCTGGATCCTGAGTGAAGCTCGCTTCTCCCCAATCCCATCTTATAAGGATCTCAATCCACGAAAAAGAGGGATCTTGATTCCTTTGGAAGAGGATCACGGCCCCACTGAAAATGGGGTCTATCACGGTTTGAAGGGCTCTCAGTCCTAAGGGGAGTTTCAAAAATTTTGAATTTTAAAGCCGATGTCTTGGATTTTGTGCTATTGTTTTATTTTTTGCCAAATTTCTAGCTAACAACCACTGACGACAATTTTGTTATCTTTTTTCATAGTCGTGGCTTGCATAAGTGGTTGACAACTAGCAAACAAACTCCGCAACACCAGATTTTTTCATAGTCGTGGCTCGTATAAGTGGTTGACAACTAGCAAACAAGCTCCAAAACACCCGAGTCAGCTAGGAATTGGGGGGGGCTCCACAGTCCCGGATGGTCCCAATGAGGGGAATCCCGAAGGTTGTCCAGAGAAGAAAGGTGACCAAGATGCCTTTTGTAGAGATTAAAGTTCAGTTTGAAGATATTATCGAGCCTCCAAATGCAAGGAGTAGCTTTAGTGGCCAATGCAATGCTGTTAAGGGAGTAGCATTCAATGAGGATCAAAGGCCCACACTCTGTTCAATAAGAAAAGTTTGCATAGCATTGCAGGGACTCTGTGAGTAAGTCATAAGCAGAGCCAAGAGGACCAAAATAGTTCCAATTGTGGGTATGATATAAGCCACCGATGCCTGCCGGACCTGGATTTCCAAGGGCACTTCCATGGAAGTTTAATTTTGTGACACTGAGGTCAAGGGCCATCCACAAAGGCAACCTGGAGATGACACTTGGGGCCAAATGAATGATATGGTGCCACTAGATGAGGAAGTCCAAGGAACAAGCCGCTGAAAACTTTGTTCAAGGAAGCCCAAAATACAATGATAGAGGTGCATCTATGAATGATGGTGGGTAGGAGAGACGTGGTGCCCACAAACACCCTTGTTTTCACTCAAGCCAAATGAACCAGATTTTGGCCTGGATGGTACAGAAACCATAGCACTGGCAGCTGACCAGGGCAATGAAAAAAGATCTTCAACCAAGGGAGGGGTGATCAAGCTTAGGGCAGAGAGGTTTAGACCTGGGGGAGTGGCAAAAAGAGGTAAGGGTGTGACTCCTCACTGGCATAGAACATGGAAAACCTATTAGCAAGATGTAAAACCCCCCTGTATTATTATATTGTCAGCAGTTCGAACCTTCTGCAGAATGGTGAGCAAAGAAAAGGCTTGAAGCTTGCATGCGGCAGAAGGGAGCCCTGCTGTATTTGCTGTAACTAGTGCAGATGCATAGTTGGACAGGACCTTAAAGAAGGAAGAAATAAAAAAGGTACCATCGGGGGAGTGGGTCCAAACAATTTTTTCTAAACCCGAAAGGGTAAGAAAGAAAGCGTTGAGCATGCTAAAAGAGCAACGAATTGGCACACTTCATTCTCAGAGAGGTCTAGGCAGAGGAGGGGAGTCTGAACCAGTCTACATCTGCCATGAGAGAAATCTTTGGAGTCATTGTTTGGGCAGCATTGAAGAGGGCTGGGAATACGAGGTCAAGGGTTTGATTACCCAGAGCGCACAAAATCTGACAAGTTGAAGTTGAGCTGCCTAATCACTCTCCAAGCACTTAAAGCCCTTTCGGAGGCAGGGCCTTCAGAGAGCAAACCAGATTCATCTGTCCCATATCTATAAAAGATCACCAATCTCCAAAAATGATCCTGGTTGGTCACCATTTGCCGAGAGCTGTTTTGGTCATTTGAAGATTTCAGAAACCCAAGCTGCAGGCAGATCTGGGTTGACAAACCTGCTCGAATCTGACCATATGAAACCTGTTTATGATTGCAGCTCCATTTCAACGAAAATCACACATAAGTCGTTCTAATTTATGGGACACTGAAACCAGCACACAAAAGAGGGACATTTAGAATACTTGAATACTAGCCAAGGTGCATTTCAAGGGTGATCGCCCCCTAGGGTGAGGAAGCAGCACTTCCAAATAGCCAGTTTCCATTCAGAATTTTCAATGGTAGCATTCCATTGGGACTGCTTTGATTTACCCAGGCACAGCGCTAAACCAAGGTATTTGCTTGGAAGGATGTCTGTGCTACACCCCATCCTTCAGGCTAAAAATTGTGGACTACCATGGTTCAAGGCGACCAATGAGTTTTGTATTATCAGAGACAAATTTTATGATAAGACTCACAAGGACAAAGTATTATCCGAGAGATGGAAATGATGCATCTGCATTCATGATAAAGTCACAATTATGCACCTTTGCAATTTCCAGCAATATGTGGACATTATTGGGAAAACGCTGCAGAATGTCAGAGAAGTGTTCAAGAGCACCTGTCCAATCAACAAGAACAAAATCAGTATGTACAGGGAACTTTATTAGAGACATCCTTATTCGAGAAAAAAAAATAGAATTTTGTAAATCTACAAGTCAAGCAATTCATATAGACGTAATGTGTAGATTTATCATTTTCCCTCTAATAGTGAAGTATACCACTTAATAGTGAGAGGATACCCAATTATGAAGGATTGATAAACAGGATCACAAGGCATTCATTGTCCATCAGCCGAAATAGGAAAACCCGATACAGGATCACTCTTGGAGTTCACTTCATGCATAATACATTGTGAAAGAGTTCCTCCAAATTAGCAAATGAATCCATATGGTAAATATGAATAACTCTGTAGATGCTCCAGCTCGACAGACTATAAGTTTCAATATATTCCCAGCTCCGTTTCAGGCACTTAGAAATGGCATGTAAAATGGAAGTTAGACGACATGAACGGAGGCTGTCAAGGCACTGATGTGTACCCTGTAACTCCTTTGCCCAATCCTTTGTCATGAGTTCCACTGACTTCCATGAATGAAATACGTAACAATTGCTTTCATTGGACTAGTAGTTTATATAGTGTAACTTTATAAGTCTCTCTCAAGGGATTGCAGTTTGTTCTGCATCACTAGACACAAAGTCCCTTCATTCTCTTTTGTTCATGCACATGGTAATAAAAGAGCCACAAATGCCAAGTTTCTTATTTATGGTGGCAACGCACCCCCAACTTTGGTGATTTCTTGGTAATTTACAGGTGATCCCATTCTATATCTGAGAACCTTTGTACTCCACGTATCCATTTTCCCAATGTTCAAAAATACAGATTCAGTCGACTAAGCAGCTGGGCGGGTGTCTACGAGAGTCTAATTCCTTAGGCGGTCCATCCATTTAAGTTGGGTTATAGGTCCTAGGGATGTGGTTTGAAGGGTTTGGTTGGAAGCCATACACCACAAATTGTTCTTGGAAACCTTTCAAAATAAAAAAATACAAATATAATGTTATCTAAGTCCCTGATACATCATACATATATGATACATCAAATATAAATTTGAATTTGAATTGGTGAGTCCAAAAATAAAACTAAAAAACTATCAAAAGATCGCAAAATCAACTTTCTACATTATCAGTTCATCAACGCCAATAAACAAGAAAAATGTACAAAAATAATGGAACAAAAACAAAATAAGAACAAAATTACATTGTTTGCCCTTTTCCAATCAAGAGACAATTATTAGACCAAATGACCAACCAATAAACTATTAAAAATACATTTCGATTAAGTTCTTTAGAATTTCATTAAGATTGGGTTACCTAATCTTAACAAAATGCCATCGATCACAAACCCAAACCCACTCTTGAATAGGAAGAACAAATTCAAACATAAACTTGAAATCAATTACAAAAACAAAAAACAAACAAGCAAAAAAATATAATAAAATAAATAAACCCAACATTCATATAAATCAATAAACCCTGAACAAAAGATTTAAATCCACTAAACTTTCAAGACAAGCAAACTGGGAAAAATCTTGGAAAAAAAAAATCCAAAACTTGGACAAGGTCAAAAAAAAATTACAATGTTGCAAAAAGTCTTGAATCTCTAAAGTTTGGAAAAGTTTCTCTCTCTAAAGAGAGGCAAACTGGTTTTGACAGGGTTGCAAATGCCCCAAAAACCCTTCCCGCACCCTCCCCAAACCCCCCTCTTTAAATAGGGAGGAAACGTACCTAGATGCCCTGGGCAGAGGGCATATTTTTCTGCCCTCTCGCCAAAGGCTCGAGGTGCCACCTAGGGACCCGGGCAGATGCAGATGCGTAGGCACCTCACACCTAGGCAGCCTGCCTAGCCTCCCATTGGTGCAGCAATGCCATTGGCAGGTGAATTTTCAAACCTTGCATCTTCCAAATCAAAACACCCACTGTTTGACTTTCTTGGTATTTCATCATTTGGGCCCAAATTGCATGCTATGAAACAATTCCAGATGTACATTGATCTAGAATAATTTATAATATAGGAGCAAGAGAACTTACTGCAACTACACATGTCAAGCAGACGGAAGAATTTTGAATAACTCCCTACAAGGATACAAGTGGTTTTCCCTATCATGAGCAGGCAAGACTGCAAGAAACGTGTTTGTCACAGATTCAGCAGAATACAAAATGACCACAGAGTTTTGAGCTCAGAAAGCCATTATAGAGACTTTCAAGTTTCAAATAGGCTAGAACGTTGGGTCTACCCTTGAAGCAATAAAATACAACTATGCTCCAAGAATTAGAAAGTTAAGTAAAAATCAAGGGTGTAGCAAAGTTCACTGTGAGCTACAACAACCATGAATAGTGCCCTCGTGATATACTTTCCAAATTGGACCAGGTGACATCCATAGTTCAATTTGGGGAAATATTTAATAAAAATGTTTTTAAGCCTTCCACGGAAAAACATATAGTTTGGATGAAGTTTCAGGGGTGAGGTAAGGTTCACATTAGCTATAGTAGTCAGGTATTAGGTCTCATGGTTAATTTCTGATTTGGGTCCAAATCTGGAACAAATCAAACCAAACTTGGTGAAGAAACTTCGAATGATGAAATAAAAGGTTTTGGATAAGATCCAGGAGGATTGGGTGAAATTTGGAGTGCAACTGCAAATTCATTTTTGAAGCCAAGAAAGGCATATGCGCCTCTTGTGATGAACTCGACATGTAGATCCAAACAGTGATCAAATGGGCTGAAATTTGGTGGAAAGTATGAATCAAAGCTCACAAGTGTGCTGGTTAAATTTCAGGAGAGAAGGTTTTAATGTACCTTGGAAAGATCACCAGGATCCATGGGTTGTGTGAAAATAGGGCTCAGAACAAACTATCAAGGAGAGATTTAATGGCACCAGCATGTAGTGCAACTTTGTCGGATTACTTGCTCAAGTCTGATGAAGACCTAGAAAGAGTCTGTTTGGATTTCACGGTGAGCCCTGTGCCTTAGCTTGTGCTCTGCTCTTAACTATTGAACCCAATTTTTTTAGGGAATCCAGGTTGCAATGGATTCACCTAGAATAAGTTCGAAAGCTTCAAACAAAGGTTTCCAAATTCAAACAAAGGTTTCCAAACTTTCTTTTGATTAGATTTAGGTAAGTAAAGCCCGAAAATGCGACATTGGTTGAGTTTTATGGAAAGCCCATCAGTTGATCTCGGATCTAAGATACCTTCCAAGAAACGGAAACATCTAATGCAGTTGGACTCCATAAATCATTGAGATAATGATTCAAGAAAGATTTTGTGTAAGAAATCTCAAGTATGAAAAGATAAACCCAAGATAAAAGAGACTACAGACTTGGATACTTTTAGCAAGTGGTTGGATCTTCAAAGATCTGGAGATATACAGCAAAACTTTTGGTGAAATCAAGGCCATTGGATGCAGATTTTGATGGCATTACAAGGTCAGGAAACATCAATTTAGTCTGTATGTGAGTCATTTGATATAAGACCCAACTCTTCAGACCAAATCTGCCCCTCACAGTGAAATTTCCATTTTCAGAGTTTTGATCCTTGAATCTCTGGATCACATGTTTAATAAGGTACGTAATCTCTTGAAATTATTTTCTGATGTTTTTAGAAGACAGAAGACTGCAGAGAAGATTTAAGAAAACAACATTCCAAAATTTGAAGAAATCTTTAATGGGCATCCAGTTCAACTCTCTACACAAGGGTGTTTCAAACACAATGGGATATTTTAAAGAGAGCAGTCTAGCAGGAATCTCATGCCAGAAACTTGTTGATTCAAAGTCAAGACTATGGAAAACGCTTAAAAATACAGAGATCTTCATATTTCCAGAGAGATTGAGAGAAATAAATCAAGAACTTTACGCTAAAGTCTAGAGGAGTGCTAAAGATTGAAGGTAGCGGCCCAACACTCTTTTCCAATACAAGAAGCAAATGGAGTTTATAACATTCCAATGTCTCATGCCTGTAATTCTTTTTCTTTCTTTGAATTTCTTCAAAGCTTTGTAACCACAGATCAAAGGGGATCTCTTTTCCATACAAAGATTGGAAGTAAATGACACAATTGCTCACTAGCGTTTGAAATTTTTTAATAATAGCTCTTGATTTGTATGTGAATCCTGAGTTTGTTCCTTAATTCTGTGCTTCTTCTGGTTTGTTCGATTGGGATCTTATTACTTCAAAGATAACACTTCTAAGCAAAACAATACTATGAGTAGAAAGCAAGACCCATGGAGCCCTTACAAGGAAAAAAAAAAAAAAACAATAAAGCGCTCCTCCAATATCCAATCATTTCAACTTTCAAAACGCTAAAGTATATTGAAGATTTAGAACCTTCAAGCCAAGTTTGGATGTCCTCACATCCCAGTTTTTCAAGAATAACTCTGTTCTTTCCCCCACCTATACATGAACAGTAGTGAGAATTGTTTTCCGCTCCAGCTAGTAAGGCTGGTTTCTCTCTCCCTCTAATTCAAAAATTTCTGCAAAGCATTCCCTCGCCTGCTAATAAAAAGAAACCTGTTTTCCCAATCATGAGTTACCGCGTTCATGCATATATTTACAGAAGAGTCCAAACTGGGCCTTAGACTGGGGCCTCTCACCACATAACTGGCTACTGCACTTGCCTCAAAAAAATGCAGTTCCACTTGAATAAAATAGCTCTGCAAACGGCACCTCAGGTTTCCAGAGTGGAGCCAAATCAGGTTAACAGGTATAGCCCCAGGTCAACACGTATACTCACAATTCCACTATCTTGTCTTGTCATTCCATATCGCAAAGTTAGGAATGAAATTAGTTTCCTCAGTTCAAATTAGTAAAAAAAAAAGAAAGAAAAAGATTGCCTTGTTAGTACTGATGAATGAATACCTATAAAAACAAATAGCTCTCAACTCCAGCAGACATACTTTTATCTTGGGAAATCTAGCATTACCATTGTGCAGCTCAGGTTTATCATAATAAATAAATTTCGTCCACACAGAATCACCTAAAAAAAGGCTCCACATTCTAACTTTTACAAATCAAAAACCCTTGACTGAAAAAAATATACACCTCAAACTTACCTTTGTAATCATTTGAAGCAATGCAACAGTGAGCCTCCACATATCGCTGCATCATAGCCCAAAAAAGAATGAAATATTGAAACCTAAGTAAATACAGAAACTGTAATGTGACAACAGAAAGCAAAACAAGAATTCTAACACACTCATTGCTAGTTTTGAGTACATCTAACTAAGGATGGTCATACTTCATCAGATTAGAAGAACTAGAATTTAGTGCAAGGATGTACCAAACCATAGAAGAACAGATGCAGCTAGCCTAGAGTTCATAAGTGCTATGTTTGTTGTCAACTGTTCAGAACTTCCATTTATTTTCTACTTAATTGGTAACGAAACTTACATTCAATTTCATCTTAATGGTCATAAAACATCCTTGCTTTCACGTTACTGAACACCCTTTCAAGCCGTTATCAGGGATTGTGAGAATTAGGAAATCGGAAATTCCTGTTGGCATCTCTCATAACCAGGAATGTGTGTCTTCAAAGAGACAAAGCAAAAAATGACACCATTCAAGGCTCACTACCTTAGCACAAGCATTTTAATCAGCTCCCAATAGTGTTGAACCCTTTCGGCAAAGTATACTGCTATAAGTTATTTAGTGCTCCATCAATTAGGGACTCATGGCCTCACTGAGAGTATGGCCCTTGATAGTGTAGAATGGAGAACCAGGATTCATGTAGCCGGCCCCAGATAGTCGGGAAAGGGCTCTGATGACGATGATGATGAGTGCTCCATCAATTAACAAAAGAAGCAGAAACCCATGATTTTTTCCCATAAAAAAAAATTACTCAGGTCCATATTTTCAAATCTAAAAGTGCTACACAGGATATACATTTCAGCTGTAATTTGTAAAGGCTCTGTGACTATAGTGGATACTTTTTTAGCATAGGAAGAACTTCAAAAACTAGCAAGCTGATAAATTTACAACTGCTTTGTCTCTCTGAAGACACACTGGTTAAAAGGGATGCCAACAGGAATTCCCAATTCACTAATGGACATAATCCCTAATAATGACACTTGCAAGGGTGTTCAGTAACATGAAATCATGGATCTTGTCTGTTGGGATCACATGAGATTGGCGCCGAAAGACTTGCTTCACCAAGAAAGAACCACAAATAATTAGATAACACTTTTCCCATGTCTCCAGCACATGTGAACTCCAGTTTCACAGATCCATGCAGTCTGGTTCATATACAAGGACAAACCCATACCATGTAAAGGATGGACAAGGTCCAGCAAACACTGATATCATTAGCAAAATAAAGAATTAAATGACAAAAAAAAAAAAACCCATTTTATAGGGTATGCAAGAATGTTTCTAGCAAAAGAAAAACAAAAATGTCCCTCTTTACAATAGATATGTACCACAATTACCCAACTTAAAAGCGCAACCAACCACCAAAAAATCATCCTCAAGAGCAGGAAAATATGACAAATAGTTCCTGCACCTCATGCAACTTGATGAACTTCAACAAATTTCATTGATGAAATTGTCGAAGAAATTCAATTAGCACTTCAGAGTTCTTAAAAAAATGAGTTCCACGAACTACCAAAAACCTTAGCCACCTGAAAAGACATTACAATCAGAAGAGTCAACAGGAGGGAGAGTCAGCACCTACAGATATCATATCCGTCCCAAATTTCAGAAGAGACTTTCACACCAAAGAGAGACAACATACACAGATAAATCAAAACACCATAAGAGCACATGACCTAAAGCCGGAACCATGTTGAGAAAAATGGAGCCCTCATTTGATGTTAATAGGTTATAGAGAGATGCCGCATACTAAGAGCTCCAACCAACTTTTTTACACAAGTATCTTGAACAATTTATCTAGAAGTTGGAATTACAACAATACTAAGCCAGAAAGCTATGAGAAAATGAACCACCACTAATTGCAGACACCATATTGCACCTTTAGGAGAAACATACGAGAAGGACTAGTTGGGGCAGTCACTTCCAATCACTAATAATAAAATTAATTAAGCCCAAGGCAATACAAAAAAACATAGTTTTTAGGGAGATTGCAAACAAGAAGAGATAAAGGTCTTCTATGGAGACAGAATATATGAATCAACCATAGAAAGGAAGAAAACTAGACTATGACCAAATAAATTCATCAACTTGTCAACGAACATTTTCTATGAGAACAATATATCACCTGTAACCAACGGCTTACATCAAAATGGTCTGAAGGAGGCCTCCCACCCCTACTCAATGTCTGCAAATATCAAATAATGTATTAATCAATAAGTCAAGGGTTTTTAACTTTACTCTATTACCAAATATTCTCATACAATAGCATACTTTACATGGTCCATAGAAAAACCTTTTGGAAACAATATGGACTTCCACAACGTAATTCTAAGCTTATATTCACGTTTTCATGAAAAGTATTTACTATTAGTATTGTTATCATTTATTATCATCATCATCAACAACAACAAAAATACATCAATGAGTGAAACTCCCATGTGTAGGATAATCACCAAATATACAAACACCATATGCTCCAAATAAATACAATCAAGTAGTAAAGCCCCTTAACACAATCTGAGCATGTATAAGATAGCAACCAACTTTGCAAAAAGGAAGACAAATATAACAGTGAATCAAAATCAATCCGATTACCAAAGGTATACAAGTACTGAGAAGTACCAAAAAGAGGCCCCCCGCAAAGATCTCTATGCAGAAATGCATGAAGATCTGAGAGGCATCAAACAATAATGGAGGAAGAACAAGAACTTCTCCAACATTATCTAGGACTGACATCGCCATCCAAACAGTGTGGAGGTCATCTGTACAGATTGTTCAGATCCTCAAATTTCTAGAGGGACTGTACTCCGATTGCAAACCGAGAGTTTTGAAACCCATATTGAAGGCATTCAAGTATGATTTCAAGGCTTTCAATCGGTATGAAGCACTTCTCATGTTTTCTTGTTCTTACAACATCTCTTGATTAAGTGTTAAAATTCTCCAAGCAAGGGTATCATTTAGGGTGGATTTGACTTAGGATATCATATCAATGACCTGTTTTTAAGCCTCAGTAAGCCATATCTCGCAGATCTGAATTACACGGCTGAGTTCCAGTGCTCAATATTTCTTTTCATTTTAATCTGCTCAAAATATTATTTTTTTTAAACAAAGATCCATTTCTCTTAGGCCGCCCTGATCTGGTCTCTCTCTTTCTGAAGTTATTTGAGGATTAACTTCGTAAAAGGCAGTGTTTGAGTTATTATGGGTTTGGGCAGCTCTCTTTCTGAAGGTATTTCTTAATAGATATCAAAATTTGGCAGTCAGTCAAATTCCTTAGAAACTCGATGATCATCGATTGTTTCCTCATCTTGATTTGCATTAAGATCCCATAAGCTATGGAAATCGAAGACGTAAACATTGCTACCATTGTTGGCAATAAGAATGCAACTTGGTAATCCCAGTATTATCATTATTTCTAGCAAGTTGAACTGGGGGAATTATTTACCATGGTCTCAATCAGCCCAAATACTTTTGCTCGGAGGAACAAGTTCCATCATATTGACGGGTTTCGAAACAACCCAACCCAACAGACTCAGGATATAATGAATGGCGGACCAATGATCTATTTTAATGAAGTAGCTTCTGAATTGAACGGGGACAGCTACTAGGAATGGACTCATGTTCCTTGGTACAAAAAAAGAAATCTACAATTTGTATAAGAACAGTTTTCTTTGGGAGATAACAATGAAAAAGCGCTCCAGCTTTTAGAAAAGTACTTAAGAGTGTTTACAAAATATTTTGTTTTATCAGGGATAAAATTTTCATTATGAATTTTGTGTTCAAGTCAAGACTTTTGGGTCATTTTATTCATTGTATGGACATTTAATGTCCTTGAACATTAAATAAAAGATCATTTAAGAGGTGTGTGAGGCCCTTGAGTGGTCATTCATTTGACTCTACTTCACAGAAAGAAAGGAAAAGCCCCAAGCTTTTGACAACCTAGTTGGGTTAGAGAAGAACCCTAGGTTTCTTACAATTATTGCTTGTGCTTGGCCTGAATTACTATTGTTTGTTCTACTTCAATCCTCCTACATTAATTTGGTATCAAAGTTCAACTTTCTTCAACAACAAGGCCAAGAAACTACAACGAAGTGTAGTGTTTGCTGCTTTTAGGAAAGGATTTGCCAAATTCAACCTAAATCAACCTAAATCTTGATAATTGCACCGAGCTTGTATTGATTCTCTACCTAGATTTATGATTTCGGTAAACCCATGGCAGCAAGAAGGTGTCATGGAAGAGGTGGGAGGGGAGGCGGGGGGGAGGGGGGTGATTTGTAGACCTACTTCACAATGCCAAAGATGTGGCAATTAAAGAACTCAAAAGGCAAGTTCAGCGCCTCTCACAACAACTTGCGGGCATCATTCATGGACAAGACGATGATCTTTCCGCCAAAGGAGATTTCGATTACATCCCTTTTCACCCCCATGCTCAGTGTGAAGCGTCAAATGAAGCAAAAAGTGATAGAAGACCAAGACATGGGAAATATTGCTTGAAGGTTTTCGAGGACATTTTTATTTTGATGCAAGTTGTAACCAAAATCAAACAAGTTGTAGAAGAGGATTCACCACATGTCTTTGATACATTGCTCAAATGAACATCGAGATATCTTATGAGATTCGATCAATGACAAGGATCAAGAAGAAAATGAAGATGTTTTAGAACAAGATCTTGCTCATGAAAATATGGAGAGAAGGTAGCAAGGGCTGATAGAAGTCATGGCCTTTGAAGATCTCAAGGATGTCGAAGAGGCGGAGCATTGAAGAGATATAGGGCATTGGAATCAGAGTGGCACGGGGGAAGCGTGATCGATTCATAAACCACAATTTGCTACCTTAGATTAAAAGAGTAATGAATTAGATGTCGAGAAAGCCTATAAAGGCCAAAAAATAGGGTTTGAAATTTCCTATGAATTTTTAAAGCAATTTCAGGGAAAACTGAATTTGATAAAGTATGTATATATATACCAAGATCCGTTTCTTAAGGATTTCTTCTTACCACATATACCATTTGAGCCAACAAAAAAGAAGGTGGAGAAGGGAAGTTTTGATGTTAAATCATCTTAGCCTACTTAAAAACTCGAGGTCGAGTTTTCTCCAATCAGGGGAGATTGATGCAGGACAAAATTCTACAAATTTTTAATTTTTGTTTAATTTCAAAGGATGAAGATTTAATTTTAATTTCAGGACTTAGGTTTAGGATTTTCAAGTGTTTTAGAAATTTTGGGATTTTTAGGAGTTGTTTAGTAAAGTACTTAGAACGTTTATGAAATATTTTGTTTCATCATGGGTAAATCTCCAATGAATTTTGTGTTTAAGTTAGGACTTTTGGGTCATTTTATTCATTACATGGATATCCCTAGGCGCCCACTTGAACCCACCTAAGAGGCCACCCAGGGCCAGCGCCCCACTCAGGGGCGGAATGCGGCTCCTTGAGGGTATTTTTGGGTTATTTTTTAATACTAAAGGGGCAAAATTGTGGCTTTTAGGTTCATTTGAAACCTAAAACCCATTAGAGGCTATTTTAGAAAGAGAAAACCCAAAAAAAAATTCTACTGGGCTGCCCAAGTACTGAGCGGCCTGGACCACCCTGACTGTCTAGGTGCCGCCTAGCGTTTTTTGAAACACTGAATGGCCTTGAACATTAGATAAAAATACTTGAGTGGTCATTCACGTCACTCTATGAAATGCCCCAGGTTTTTGAAACCCTAGAGGGCTTAGGGAAGAAACTGAAGGCTTCTTCTAATTATTGATGGTGTTCGGCCTGAATTACTATTGTTTTCCTGTTCTACAATTTTTCTAAATCAATGTGGGGCTGGAAGATGATTGGGAAACATTTTGGAAAAAAATGGACTCCATTATTTCAATAAGGCTCCCTTGATGATGGGTACCAACCACATTGTGAGAAGAGTTATGACATGCTCGTCGTGGACATCCTCTTGTTAATATTACAAAGTTTTTGCTACCGGTATTGAGTGTTACTGATGACAACAGTTTAAGTTGTGAAGTGTGTTCTAAACAACGCCAACCGCCTTCTAAATAAGAGTCATGTCATAAGCCATTTGCTTTAATACATTCATGATCTTGGGATCCAAATCCAGTTTCTTCTTTTTCTGATTCCCATTTTTTGTGTGACTTTTGCTGATGATTCTCCTACATTTACTTGGATTTTTCTAATGAAATTCAAGAATCAAATTTTTTGAAAATTTTAAGCTGTATCATAAATTAATTGCCACCCAATTTGTGCCAAACTAAAGATTCTTAGGTTAGATAATGGGATAAATATATCAATATATAAATGTCCGGATACCTCCAAGAAACCATTTTCTTCATCAATCATTATCTCTTGCAATACCACAACACAGTTTGATGTTGCAAAAAGGAATAATTGTCATTTTTTGGAAGTTACCAAACCGTTGTCGATGAATGTGCATGCTCACAAAATTTAGTGTCAGGTTGTCCGTTTGGCAGCATATCTCATAAATTGTTTTACAACTTCTCCAATTCTTAATAATGCTTGTCCTAGTAAAAAATTAATTGGGCAACCATCCTTTGTCAACCATGTAAGACTCTTCGGTTATGTTTGCTTTGTCCATGTAAGGAAAACTGCCAAAGACAAGCTGGACGCCAGGTTTGTTCGATAATTTTTTCCAGGGTACTATCCTACTGAAAAGAGCCACAAGTGTTATGATTCAAAGGAAAAAAGACATTATGTTTCACACAATGTCTGGAACATGCCATATTTTCTAAAGAAAGATGCACTACATGAACCATTTAAGGGGAAGGTCATCACCACCTCTCCAGTTCAACTCGCTCTAAATGTTTCTGTATCTGAATCTGGTTCGCTTCATGTTCTCAAACCACTCCAAATTTCCGGCTCCACACTAAGTCCTTCACTCAAGGATGTCCCCAAGCAACCATCAAGACTCACCTACTCACAAAGGCAAAGGGAGCAAGAGCAAGCAAATTATGAACCACTACTCAATTTGCCTCCTCAAGAAGCTTCCCATAATTCATTGTCAATCCCTAAAGGTAATTCCTCTCCTATTATTGTTCATAAAGAAAAGCAAAATCTTCATCCTATTATTGTATATTGCTCTCTCCTCCCAGTATCATTTTTCTCGTGCTTCCCTGTATTCCTACTTTGTAATTCATCCAAAGTGGAGGGAACCCATGAAAGAGCAAAAACAAGCATTTTAGAAAATTCATACATGCGATCCACTGAAACTCCCTCCAAGCAAGAAGGTCATTGCTTGTTGTTATGTCTTCAAGCACGAGTATAGCAAAAAATGAGGGCATTGAACATTATAAGGCACCTTAGTTAGTGAAAGGATTCACCCAGACCCATGGTGGATTATCATGAGAGTAAAAATGTATTCTATTCGTGTCCTATTGTCTTTGCCAGCAAATCAAAAGTGGCCCTTATATCATCCAGATGTTAAGTATGTGCCTTCAAGATGATTTAGAGGAAGATATGTATATGTAATGTCTGCCTACAACCCCATAACCCACACTTATAACTGTGGCTTGCCAGCTTCCCAAAGGATTGTAATAAAAACAACCACCTAGGGCATGGCTTGGCAAGTTCAGCAGTGCCTTCCAAAGTATGGGATTCCATAGGAGTAGCGCTACTACTCCATATTAGTTAAAAGGCAAACTAAAGGTACTACTGTTATTCTAGTTATGTAAGTGACATTGTTCACAGTGATGACTAGAAGAGTATTGGGAGTCTCAAGAGATGCTTGCCTCATAAGTTTGACGTCAATGATTTGGGCTCCCTCTAAAGCTCTTTCGGTATTGAGGTGGCTCAATCATGACAGCTGATCTTCATTCTTAACAAAAATATGTTCTGATCTACTTTAAGAAACAGGGAAGCTGCAATTGAAAACTATGGACTCTCCTATAGATCCTAACAGTAAGTTGGATTTCATTTATAAAATACTTTTGGAAGTTGTAGGACTATATAAGAGCCTTGTTGGGAAAACTCATCTATTTGACGATTACTAAACCTAATATCACTGGTTGTGGGTCATGTTAGTCAACTCAGGCATGCACGCGGATTTACACATGTAAATGCTATCACGAGGATCTTGCATTACCTCCAATCATCTCCTACCAAGGGTCTTATGCTTTTATAATGCAAGACTTGACTTGATGGGATACTCTGATGCTGACTGCGCAACTTATCCCATAGACAAACCTTCAACCATAGAATATTACACTTCTATTGGACACAATTTGGTAGCCTAGAAATGTAGAAAACAGCACGTTGCGCAATCCAGGGTAAAAGCTAAGTATCGTGCCACGGCTTCTATAATATTTGATCTTATCTGGTTAAGAACATCTTACTTCAAGAGAATAAATATTGTCTCACGAGATTCACTTTATCATAATACCTAGGCAGTGACAGCATCATCGAGCCCAGTTTTCATGAGCGTTCGAAACATATTGAGGTCAATTGTTACTTCATTCGTGAAAAGTGACCCGTTAAGCTCCTATAAGATTCATATATGAAGACCAAAGATCAGGTAGCAGATACCAAGGTGGGGGGGAAACACTGCATATATATATATATATATATATATATATATATATATAAGTAAA